TTGTCCATTATTATTTTACGGACATTTATTTTTACAACGTAGGGCCAACAGAGGCCCAACCTATCCTATATAAATCATGATTTCCATTCAAAATTAATCCATCTTGACAAAAATTAATAACTAGCTAATGTTGACGATGAGGCAAAAGAAAAAAGTGATAAACTATACAATTTATTTGTAAAGTATTTTAAGAAAAACAAATTTAATTCACCTCAAAGGTTTACCCTGCGTTTCTTTTTCCTTTCAGTATATTAAGCGTAAACTCTAGATGCTTGAGTTGAATAACAATATGACAAATACAAAATAAAATACTTATATCTAAACTTGTTGTCATAAACTATTTTATTTTCCCATAAAATTAATTATAGTGAACTTCTTTGTTGTAAAATTATGCTTTAAACAAACATTTATTGGTATATTTAACCTATGTAAACAAATCATGACACAGGCGTTGTTTAGATAACAATGCTTTTCAGCTCCAAGTCTGTCTAGTATCTCCAAAACTGAAATTCAATTTTTGGATGTTTATTAGAAATACCTTAGTTAAATATTTTTTAAAAAAAAAATGAGCGATCGAAATATTTTTAGCTGAAACTGTGTCTACGACCCTTTAAAATAGGACAATTCATACATTCCAGTACCGACCGGACACAACCTAACACCAGAGCGAACCCGGAGCGGACCCCGGGTTCGCTTCACGGGTTCGCTCGGGGTCCGCTTCGGGTTCGCTTTTAGAAATTTTGGGACCGCTCCGGGTTCGCTTTGGGTGCGCTCCGGGTTCGCTCCGCGTTCACTCGGGGTCAGCTCTGGGTCCGCTAGAGCGAACCCGGTGTTCGCTTCCTGGGACCGCTTTACGCACTGATGCGTGAAGCGGACCCCGCTTTAATCTCACCGCCAGTAAGCCCCGCCCCTTGTATATTCCAATACAGTAATGGAATTGTGGATCGATCTTTGTTGTTTATGCGACGATGCGGACATGTACACTGTACATGTAAACAGTGACATTATGAAGAACATTCATAAATTTTCTAAAATTAAACTGTTTATTCGACGTAGATTTACATGTACATGAATAATTGATTTCCTTGATTTCTCTATCCCGAGAAATTCAAACTAATCTTACAGCGAATTATAAGGCATTTTTTTTTCTTAAGTTATAACGAGAAAACAAAAAAAGAATAGGAAGACAAGAGTGTTGAATTGATTTTCAGTGTATCGAATGGTGTACAAGTGAAACTGACGAAAGAAATTTAAACTGAATACCTTTTAAATTCATGCTTTATATAGTTTAAAAATACATTTGTTATTCCTTACGTCTTGCTAAATCGTAGTTTGAATGTTAACTAAACACGTAAATTATGATATCGCATCTATAAATTACATGTAACCTTTTGTACATCTGATATATTTAGATTTCATTTATAGTAGTTACACATTAAAAGTTAAAAGTTCGCAATACCGGACATTTTGAAAAAAAAAATTACACTGTATATTAGAGCTTTTTCACGGTCAAAATTTTGGAGCCAGAATGATTTTTATCAGAATAAAGAAAAAGGCAAATAAAAATTGTTCTCCCGACCCGATAAGAATATATCAATATATGCCCCCTATTTCACACACACATTGTCTTTAAAAAATTCTAATTATTTAATTATTTTATTTATGATTTCACAATGTATGTGTTACATTAAATTATTCAAAATATACATCAAAATTATTGATTTTCTTAATCTTCTTGGGCATGAAAAAATGCGTGTATTTAAAACTCTTCCATCTGGATGCACAGATTGAAGTCATTCCGCCCTAATGGTATTAACAAACTGAATGACTTCACCAGAATGAATGTGAATTAGACCCAATTCCTGATGATTCCTGACTTAACAAGATTAGTCTTTAAATTAAGTGTAACTCTACAGTTAGTTTGCGTTACCATCTTTCGAACAACCCACATAACTATGCATTGCTAACGCCTTTATTAATTATTTTTTTCAAATAATTAGTCCTAAAACATTTCAAAATTTATAATAGATCATAATTCATATGTTAAAATATCCCTTCTATGTTATATTTCTCGAATTATTCTTTGTCAAGTATAGTTACGCATTTTGAGAGAATGAAACAATGTACGATTTACTAAATGTCGTGATTAATTAGCGTAATTAATTCGTTCAATTATGAAAATCGCACTTCACCTGAGTTTACCCCGATGAACCAGACGTACTTTATAGCGGTTCGGATTTCTTTCTTTATTTAATAGTGTTTATATAAATTTCCAATTCAACTTGAGATGATGAAATTTTACAATAATTGTCGAAGACCAACAGTTACCATATTTCTTTTCTCCGCTTTTTGTCAGTAAAAATTGTAATATCAATTGATTTCCATTTTTATGCAATGACTGATGTATTTACCCAATTTATTTAATTAATTGCTTTAATAAAAAAGAAATTAAATATTATATAAATATAAAATACAACCCGGAAAATTAAGATAAATAAATAATAAATAATATTTTAATTAGCACAATAGATTAACACAACACATTCACACGTTTTACTTGTATGTAAAGTGTTTGGATTTATGTCGACCTAAATCAACACGTTCGATCTTATATCCCAATCGACAGATCAATATGCTATTTTGATTGGTTGATGCACTGACTGGTTAATCGCTAATCCTGATTGACAGCTCTGTAAAGAAATACCGAACCCGCGTTCGCTCTCTGGGACCGCTACTGAATTTGGGGTTCGCTCTCTGGGTCCGCTTCGGGTTCGCTCGGGGTCCGCTACGGGTTCGCTTTGGGTGCGCTCCGCGTTCGCTCGGGGTCAGCCCTTGCGGACCCCGAGCGAACCCGGAGCGGACCCAGAGAGCGAACCCGGGGTTCGCTCTGGGTTCGCTTTCTGTTAGGTTGTGTCCGGTCGGTACTGTTCATTAACTTAACATACAATGGCTTTAATCATAAATGTCATTTTAAATTCATAGATACCCATATTATTCTATCAGATATATCAATTAATAACTTAATTACAGGTATTTGTTTTAAATATCGCAACCAGAAATGGTTTAAAAAGATAACAGCTAGAGTAATAAAGAAACGTTCGGGAGCCATGAAAGATATGAAAGACAAGTCATTGAATGGTTGTTATCTTTCTTAACAAATTAGTTTTTGTACTTCGTGAGAATAACCGAATCATTTCTGTTTGGCAAAATCCCATCATTTTTAAATTGAATGAAGTGCAATTCAGTGATCAGCTTAACTGAGAACAGTCAGTGGAAATTCAACGCAAAATTCTAAAATCTTATAAGAATGTAAGTCATAGAATAATGATCACCTAAAGAGACACAAGCCATCTAAATATTCTGGTAGCTTTACGTAAGTATTATTTTAAAGTAAGATTGGTATTTTTAATATTGCAAATGAAATATTTACATGAAAATTCTATTTTTATCAATCAAAATACTAATTTAATAAATGTTAGTTCGTATGTGTAAAGGTATCCATCTGTAGCCGATGGATTATCATTATTTAAATGTGTAATACATCATTTCTATAAATACATCATTTATGTATTTGATATACTTTATCGCATGAAGCAATATGTATTATGAAGTCTAAAAAATAGAAAATAATCAATTCCTAAAAGAAAACACAGGCAAAAGTGACTCACATAAATTTCATGTGAATTCTTCACATGAAAAAGACACGAAAAACAAGACATGTGAAATTCATGCGAAAACTTCAGGTAAATTTCACACAAATTTCATATGAATTTTACATGAAGAGCATATCGCATAAATATCATGCAAATAAAACTTCATATGAAAATTAAAATATATTGATTGATTGATTGTATATTGTTTAACGTCCCTCTTGAGAATTTTTCACTCATATGGAGACGTCACCGTATGCCGGTGAAGGGCTTCAAATTTAAACCTATACTCGGCACTCAGGGCCTTTGAGCAGTGAGGGTTTTTTATCGTGCCAGCGCCTACCGTGACACGGGACCTACGTTTTTAAGGTCATATCCGAAAGACCCGTGACTTTCACTTCTGATGCCGAGCGCTTGGCGAAGGAACAGTCACTACCTATTTTTACGTCTTAGGTTTGACGCGGCACCGGGAACGAGAATCGAACCCGGGTCTCCCGATCACGAAGCGAACGCTCTACCACTAGGCTACCGTGAACGGTAAAATTAAAATATAGATTTATGTGAATATCATATACATTTTTATTCACATGATATTCACATGAAAATATTTTTATATAAATTTCATATGATTTTCACATAATTTTCGAATAAAAAGATAATTACATGAATATCACATAAGCGACTGTTCTCTGTGAATAATTGAACAATTTTTTCCATTGATAATGTGCTTTGAGAAAAAAAATCTTTATTTTTCTTTTAGCCTTATTGATGAATTTGAGCTCTTTAATTAGAAGATCATCAGCATCAAAAATTAAATGAAAGAATTTTAAAAATATTTCAAAGAAACTCTGATATAGCCAGGAGGAATAACTCTTTAATTCATTACTTCAAAAAGTATAAAATGGCACACGATATTGAATTTTCAAGTATCTCGATATCACTAAAAGTTCATTGTAGTCTTTCAAACGTAATGTTGAAAAAAAAAGTCCTAATATGTTTTATATTCTGTCTCTTTAAAATGATAGGGTTTTATATTTCTGACATATAACGTAGAGTGTCAAAGTAACATTTTTTTAAAAAAAAAAGGGGGGGGGGCATTCAAATTGTTAAATATATCATATCGCCTAGTGCCATTAAAATTAATCTACTTGTGTTTTGAGAAGGTCCTAAGTTAATGTCCAGAATATTGATTTCCCAAAACTTGGAATGTTACAATGAAACCACTTAAATTTGAAATCGATCGTTAAAGAAGAGGTTCTTCTTAACAAAAATGTGTTTTTTATGAACAAACATCTTTTTCTTTTATTTTCAGTGCACCATTACAAGGTAATGTCACAAAAATATAAGGTGATGGATTTTCCGAACAGTGCTCAAGACATTGTTCGGTGTGATTTTTGTGAAATTCGAGTTGTACAAAGTTATTGTGAGATTTGTCATAACAATCTGTGTAAGACCTGTGTAGGGGAACATCTATCCGACTCTACCAGAAGACATAGAGTCGTACCGTTTAAAGAAAAAACTTCAATGCCTGATTTACCAAAATGCCATGAACCAGAGATCCTCACCACCATAGATACTAGGTATGAAAACATATTCAGCGTTACCTGTCTCAGTGATGAAGAAATCTGGATACGAGGAAGTGAAAATATCTTAAGACTCTTCAACCTCCAAGGTGAACTACTGAAGTCAATCAAAACCAAGTCAGGAAACTTTGCATGTGACATAGCAGTGACAAGGAATAGAGAATTAGTTTATACCGATCCGGGTACAAGAACTGTAAACATAGTGAAGAATAATCAGATTAAGGCAGTAATCAAACTTGAGAGTTGCGAGCCTTACTATGTTTGTAGTACTGCCTTTGGTGACCTCCTGGTTACAGTAGTTAACGATGATGATAAACAATCAATAGTTGTGCGTTATTCTGGCTCCACAATAAAACAAACCATTCAGTTTGATAGTGAAGGTATACCTCTGTACTCACCCGGTTACTTCTCAAAATACATGAGTGAGAACGGGAACCTGGATATCTGTGTGGCAGACAATGGAGCCAATGCAGTAGTGGTGGTAAACAAAGCCGGAGAACTCCGATTTAAATACACTGGTCATCATTCTTCTAACAACCTGGTGGAATTTTCTCCAACTGGCATCACAACAGACAGTCAGAGTCGCATCCTTACGTCAGAACATCATAACAATCGTATCCACATCCTCCATAAGGATGGAGATCTTCTTTATTACATTCATTACATAGGCAATCCATACGGTTTATGTTTAGACACTAACGACAATCTTTTCGTGGCTCAGCACTGGGAAGGGAAAGTGGCAAAAGTCAAATATTTGTAAACTCCGTAGCATGTCAAGAGCTGATTCTGAATGAGATATTATAGTCATAGATACTTGATTCATCAGATCAGAACATATGACAAAATTTATGGCATAAGTTAACATGATTAAGCCGCTTCAAAGAAATTATTTCTGGATGAATTACAGGCAGGTTTCAAACCTATCGTAAGTTTCAAAAGCATTGAAAAAGTAGTGGCAAAATGAATGGAAGATCGAACACTCTACATGACAATCTCCATTAAGCAGATAGTGCGGTTCATTCTACAGATACTGCCCTTCTTAGAGTTCATCGTGGTATTAATTGAGGTATCTCTTAACATAGGACGCTGTGCTGTGCTACTGATGCTTGATTCGATGTCCCGAGTTTACACCCATAACCCCTCCGCACAGAAACAATTATCATTAATTAATCTAAAATCCATATACAATTCAAACTACAAACTGTATTAGGATGCAGCCATTGCACCCGTAACTTTACTTCAAAACCCACAAAATATTTACAAATAAGAATAGCTTACCGTCTGGAGAATGAAATGTGCATGTAGTAAATTACCGACTTCCTGGCTACCTGTTTACCAGACTTACTTCTGGAATTCGCCATGAAACGTCTACTACACGACAAAAATCAAAACGCGGCCGCACACTTGACAAACAGCCACGACTCAATCTGACCAAACTGGTTATATTTAAAGTAGCTTTTTTCGAACACTCTCAACTACGGAACCAAAAAGGGATATAATAACTCTATTTTCACAAGAAATACAAAGCTGGAATAAAAAAAGCAGCAAAATTCAACTTCATCACAATTATATTTTGTCATTGAATTTTAAATTTTTATTATCTATGTAGTACTTTTATAAATATTGGACACTTTAATGTTTTCATATTTATCTTATAATGTTTAAAGTTTTATTTGTTTTACATACATGACTACATTGTTTAATGATTGTATGGCGCCTTAGAGTTTTATTTTATCTTTTTTGTAAAGAATAAAGAATGAGTGCACTTGAGAGTGTAGTATGTCAATCCGAACCATTTGGGCTATCCATTGTAAGCTTCACATTACAATATATCGCTTAATCAATCTATGATTATTGTGCAAGTATATGCTTTTGGTATTTATGCCTTGAATTTTTTGTCATACTTATTTCTTTAATTACAGATAATGCCATTGAAAAGAACATGTATATGTATAAGCCTTAAATTCCGGAAATTTTAACGGGACCACTTTCGAATTTGAGGTATTCGCAATTTAAATGGCATGGATGTGAAATGTAAACATTAGCACATAATTATGCTTTTTTGCAATCAGATCCTACACTACGAATTTAAATGGAGAAGAGAGAGATCGTGTTATTACATGGTGCACAAATAATAAATGATTCTAGTGTTTAGGGATATGGTAAATATCTCGTCCTACAGACCATATAATGCGGGGGCGACGCAAGCCATATTTACTAACCACACTGACAATACCGGAATTTTCAAAGCAGCCACGACGAAAAACACAAAGTAAAATAAAAGACATATAATCTTCAAATTCTATTAAAATTTATGCAAACATCTTCGGTAGTTTGAGGTTGGAAGTACGATAGAATCACGATAGAAACTTCCAACAATGACAAACACAATGAAATGTTCATTGAAAGCCTTAGCATATCAAACAGTGGAATGGCACGTGAGTAAAGTGATTGTAATATCAATCGTTGACACTCGGGGACCTGTTAATTCAGTATCTATTTTGAGCGTGGCTTGGGGACATTTTTTTTTTAATTTGATATTAGCCGATACGTGACCAACATTGTCCTTTGGATATGTATAGGTTTAAATTAAAATAGACATTCTGTGCAAATGGGACCAATGGTCAAGTCGCGGCTCGATGTAAACAATGTCGTTAAAACTGGTTTGCATATGAATAACAGTAGAAATGTGACAAAACTGTTAGACCCCCGTCTCAAAGCTAGTGTCGCTCGGCATTATTTAATAATATCATGTAATATAATATACCAAAACCTGCTCTTTAGACATTTTTTAATAATATTAAACATAAATTTAATGAATTTTTAAATTTTATTTTGCTCAAAACATTGGGATCCAACTCTCATAGCTTATAGTAAGTGCACTCATCCTTTTATATATTTTTTTGAATTAAAACATCAGCATAAGCATTCTTTCTATGATTAAATTTACACTGTGTCACTTCTTAATTTGTGTATTCATAAAACAATCCAAATGATATTGTTTTATTTTAATTTGTTAATATAATCTCATATTTCAGAATTTGAAAAAAAAAGAATGAATGGTTATATATTATGCAACAACTGAAAATTATTAACTGAAAAATACATGTACACAGTTCATGTACTTTATTCCTTTCCCATCTGAAATAATTCCGTTATTTTAAAGTCTTATCATGATCTTTAGCCTATCTTAAAAAATAATTTGAATACATTCAATTAAAATAAATTATATCTGAAATCTGACCTGTTAGTGTGCAATATTTTAGCACAATATAATATAAAATATAATATAAACTAGATGAGATCTCGTTGCGAGCAACGAGTAGGTCTTCCGTTGAATTTATCGATACGATGAGATAAGATTTTGACTGAGGTATTCGTAAAATGAGAATGGTATAAATTCTCCTTCATTATGTTCCCCAAACGAAGTTGGGGAACATATTGTTTTTACTCTGTTTCTTATTCTTATTATTATTATTTTTCTTCTTCTTCCTGGGTACTTTTTTGTCCGGGAATGATCTCGTAAACTATACATCCGACTAAGGTGAAATGTTTTTAGGGTCAGTAGACATGTTATGTAGATTTGCGGAACGAAGGTCATTTTGCGCGCACGTGCTTGCAAGAGCGTGCACGTGCAACATGTGTAATGACCGATTTAATTGATATAGGCGTAACTTTTTAAATTTTTGATGAAATGCTTTGAAACTTATAATATAAGGATATATTAGTAGCATAGACATTATGACATGGTCAAAATAGCAAGATCCCACGCGCAGGCACGTGCGCTTTGCTCTGATTGGCTGAAACTAAAGTCTCAATATCTTTCTTGTTTTTTGACGAAATCCTTTAAAATTTTGAAAATAGCCATGCATTAGGATATCCTACAACATGATATATAGCAATTATCATGAAAACACGTGCATGCACGTGCGCTGCAATCTGATTGGCTTAAACTTTAAATAGCTATAACTCCCTTGATTTTCAACCAAACAGGATGGGATTTGGAACATAGATAGATATACTGGACTACTACAAGAAAATATGGTCACCATGCACATGCATACACGTGCATGTATGTGCGCTGCAATCTGATTGGCTGAAACTTTAAACAGCTATAACTCCCTTGGTTTTCAACCAAACGGGGTGGGATTTAGAACATAGATAGATGTAATGGACATCTACAAGAAAGTATGGTCACCATGCTCATGTATGCACGTGCATGCACGTGAAATGAGCAAAATAAAAAAAAACACTTGAATGAGCGTATCTTTTTAATACTTTTGGATTAAATACTTTAATATTAAGTATATTAAAATATATAGATTGTGTAGACAAGATGATATGGTCATTACGCACATGCATTCACATGCGCACGCAAAATTTGAATGAACTTGGTATACTTCTGGGTAAACGTTATTAAAGTCTTAAATGCATCGAGTTTGTCTTATTCAATGAAGCTTACAGGGAATATGGCACCAAAAGGGAGTTGGGGAGCGTTTGGGGAACATCTGTAACGGTCCCCGTTACAATTAGCACTAGTTAAATTTAATTCTTCTGACTTGTATCACAATATCCTGAGCATCAAAGATATAACATTATGTTCTGGCCCCTTGTGACCCCCTATTACGTAACGCATGATCAAAATTTTATACTATTTTGTTGATGAATACTTTTGCTTCAGTTATGTATTACAAAATATTGATCATTAGAAAGTTAAAGATGAAAGACTTTTGGTCACTCTGAACCCAATAATTTGAGGTGTCAGCCCCTCTTTCTTGATATAAATTGAAAGGTCTCATGATTTTGAAGACTTTTTGTTCAGCGCTTATTCAGAGAGTTCTTTTCGTTGTGGAGATATGCTAAATAGAAATATTTAGGGGCCATCGCTACAAGTCCTTAATTGGACCGTTTTACAAAAATTCAAGGTATGCATATTGTTTAAAACATTATTCCTACCATCTTTTGTTCAATATTGCTTATCAAAATATTCCCCCATTTTGAGATATAAACCGTCAAATAAAGATTTGACATTCTGACCCCTTTTGACCCATAATTACGTAACATATGATCAAAAGTTTATAATATATTGTTGCTAGTTGTTAATATAAATACTTTTGCCTCAGTAATGTATAACAGTAATGTATAACAAAATATTGATCATTAGAGAGTTATAGATGAAAGAATTTTGGCCCCTCTGAGCCCCTAGTAGGAGCAGCTAGTCCATTTTCGTGATACTATATGAATGTTCCTAACATTTTGCACATTTTTTCTTCAATATGCTTTAACAAATTATGAACAGGTACAAAGATATGAAACAAAATGTGTCAAATTTTTTGAGATGTTTCTGAGACATTTTTTCGGGCCCTACCGAGCTTCGGCGCCTTTTGCGCTAGAAAGATTTGGGTACTCAATTGCAACTCAGCAAACCTTCATGTATACTCACTTGAAATCTTGGGTCAATATCTTTAGTCGTTTTGGAGGAGTTTCATGGACAAGCCGACCCCTTGAAAATTAGAAAATCGACCATATCTCACGACCTGAAGTGACAATACCAAAAAGCAAGGTCGATTGAAGATCTTTTACGTCTGAAAGTTTGATATAAATCGGATGGGCCATCTCTGAGAAATTGCTTGCACAAAATCGGTTGGAAGAAAAATAATAATAGGGAAAAAGACCTTAATTTAAAAAAGTACAAGTACTTAAGTCACGCGACAGGAAGACGGTTCATGACATGACGATGACTAAACTAGGAAGAATTAC